GCTTTTCACTTCTCATTTTAAGAGGGACTTCTCACCTGATATTCTCTCTCTCTCTCTCTCTCTCTCTCTCTCTCTCTCTCTCTCTCTCTCTCTCTCTATATATATATATATATATATATATATATATATATATATATATATATATATACGGTTCATCCAAAAAAATAATAACAAGAAATTGTGTGGGATGAGACACGACTGTTAAGACCCCGATTTACCATTTGTAGTTTGTTGGTTCAAGAAACTATACGTTTCATCAAAAGCTCGATTTATTAAGATTTAATCGTCTCAGTTTGGTTCATAGTCTACGGACACCAAACTTAAAGTCTCATTCCTTTAATCTATTAGAAGTTTTCTAAACTATTTTCAATGTTCTCAAAATACTCATTTGAAATATGTGGGGGATTGTTGGAAAAAATATGAGTATTTCAAATGAATAAAATGTTCTTGTTTTTTTTTCACACACTGATTTGATAATAAATATTGATACACCTCATCTATATTATACTTTTAGTTTTATCTCTTCATATTATTTATAATAAAAATAAACAAAATCACTAAATCAGTCAACCCAACTAATTGAGGCATAATTTCGTATATTTTAACAAGAAACCTATTAAGCCCATATCCATGTCCTACATTTACATCGTAAAAGACTAAAAACGTAGAAGTAGATTATACGGAGTAAGAAGTGACCAGTTTTGGAAAGTTTGTAGGTAGAGACTAGAGAGTTACCATCACCGCGCGGCGGTGATCTGACAGTCCCCAAACCCTAATCGGGACCGAGAAAAGACAGCGATGGCGGAAATACGAAACGATCAAGAGGAATGTGCGTTGCCCCTGAAAAGGAAACCCCAACCAGACTCCATCGTCGCAGTTGCTACTAAAAGCCTAAATGACGACGGGTCTATCAAGAAGGCCAAGCTCGAAAAACCTGTTGCTGTCGTCGCCTCCGCGGAAGACAAATTGGTTGGCGAAGGATCTCAGAGGGAAGATAGTTCTGTGAATGATGATGAAGGCGAGGACGATGAGGATGACTACAAGGTTGAAGAGGAAGATGATTCTGAAGACGAAGAGCTGTCTAATGGAGTGACGGAAATCGACCGAAAAGGGAAAGGAATACTGATTGAGGAACCGGTGGATGAATCTGATTGTGAATCCGGTTCTAGTGCATCTGGAAGCGACTATAGTACGAACGGCGAAAGCTGTCCCTCTGACGACGATCCCCTTGCAGAGATTGATTTGGACAACATCCTTCCTTCCAGGACTCGAAGGCGTACGGTTCATCCCGGGGTTCGTATTTCTCAACAGGCCACAGGTAAAGCTGAACATGGCAGCGATGGCGGTCGTAGTAGTGATGCTTAATTGATTCCAGTTTCTTCTTAAAATTCTAAGTCGAAATCTCTGTGTCGCCCTAAAACCCTAAGCACTTGTTAAGGAGATCTTCCATTCCTTAGTTATGTAGAGCTTGGATGATATGTGCTTATGCCTTAGATCTTCAGAGTTGTCTTGTGAATTTTAACAAGCCACTGTCTCGTTTGTTCTTCACTATGTTTGTTTTAATGGAATTAATGTTCAATTGCTATAATGTGATTGGATAGAGCGTATATATCGATATGTGAGTTTGTCGAATGCATGAATGATTTCTGTTTGGCATCAAGTTTCCCATTTTCTGTACTACACTACTTATTCATGTACTGTGTATCTTTATTTAAGTAAGTTATGCAACAACTTCATCTCTCCTTTTACAAGGATATGCTTAAGGAGTCTAGTAGTGCGAGCAGATATGCAAAAGTCAAAGTTTTACTGTGAAGTAGCATATTATATTTGATCCTTCTGTGTGCTAATTGATTCTACAGAATCAAGATCTGTGTCCCTTTTTCTTTTCATTTTCCTTTTCACGATATCACCACTTCGAAGTTAGAATGCACATTGATATAGTTGCATTTCTTCAAGACAAAGCCCATAATGCATGCTTTACATGGATATGACAAACTTATTTATAAGTTTCCTTGTTACTGATGGACTTGATGTCTTACTCCCTCCTTCCCTATTTGATGGTCTCATTTCTTTTGGGCACATGTTTTAATAAAGTGGTTGAAAAGGTAAAAGTTGTGGTTGAGATTTGAGTATAATAAAGTGAAATGATATGGGACATCCCAAAAAAGAAATACATGACATCATTTTGGGACGGAGGTAGCAATATGTATTACTCTTCCAACCAATTGAACGAACTGTTTCATATCTATGTCATTTAGTAGGTGCGAGAACGTCCTCTTTTTAAGGGCCATTCCTAATAATTAATGACCAATGTATGACTAGAATAAGATACCGGACAAAATGTGATTTTTTGTACGCGGTGACATACTATCTGTCAGATTGAGATTATAGTACAACTTACATCTTCCCAACGTACTGTCCGGTCGGGGTTGGGGGGTCTTCAGGGATGGGGTGTCATCCTTTTTTTTTGTACGCGGTAACATAGTTGTAGTAGCTTTTGGCTTCAGTTCCGTTTTTTCCCTGATTCACTAAGAACTAGATTAGGAGAATGATTACAAATACAGATCATACTGTATTTTATTTGGTGTAAGTATTTTTCATCTGTGATATAGTATGGCGTAGGTATTTTCATCTAGATTACACTAGCCCAAAATATTCAAGTATAAGTCGCATGACTGGCAGCGAACAACACATTGCGCCTCTCTGATGAAGATGTAATTTGTTTAAGGGCTCATTCAAACTGTGAAGCAGATAGATCCTGCTTCTTTTCAGGGGTGAACAAATTTTGGTTAAACCACAAACCTGAAAAACTGGTTTTCAGTCGATCTTTGGTTATTTATTCTTGAAAACATTCAGTTTTCGGTTAGGTATACGCATTTTTAGTTTGAGTCAATTGGATATAGTGAAAATGTGTAATTAAAGATAGTTAGAATATATTTGCATGTACAGTAAACAACGGTTCAATTTATTATTGCTTTATGTAAAAGGAAGTAATCGATATTCAATAATATGGGATGAATGAAAAGGGAACATACATACTCCGGTATATGATCCTGGGAACACAAAGAGAGTACTAAACTCCAACTTTTATTACGTAGTATATTATAATAATATGATATTATGCTAAGTTCACAATTTTTACTCTGCGTAAATTATCTACATTCCCTTCTATTCTATTTCAAAATATTTCTAAATTCCTTTAAAAAATAGAGTATGCAATTCATCATATTTTTTTGTTGCAAATTAAACTCAACTGAAAATTTCAATTTTTTAGATTTTGTGACCAATGAGTGGCAATGTTTTTAGATCAAAAGGGTCCGATATACTCCCTCCGTCCCTATATAAAAGTATCAATTCGTTTTCCACACATTTTAAGAAAGTGGGTTTGGTTGGTACTGTTTGGCACTGTTTTGCACTTTTTTGTTTGCCAAAAAAGGAAATGGAACTTTTATTTAGGGACTACCCGAAAAGGAAACAGATGCTTTTATTTAGGGACGGAGGGAATATATCTTTTAAATCTTCTAATAGTACATGGTATGGAGTTTTTCTTTATATGTAACATGAATGTAGAGATAATAACTCATAACCCAATAACTCTAGATAAAAGTTATAGAGTTCCATTGATGGCGCTATCAAAAGCTTATTTCTTATTTCTATCATAAAAAGTGTGTATTAATAATCATAAGAAAATAAACAAGGTTACAAGGAAATCAATACAATGAACACAAGAAATCATTCCATAATCAACTTTCGAAACGTAGACCACAAAACGTGCAAGTGGGCAATTTTATTGTACTGCATGACTTACCACATGCCCACAAACACCCAAACCAACAATCAACTAACTAACAATAGGCTAAACTTAATGTATCCAAAATACTTTATTCATTTCGTCTTCTCTATCTTTCTAGAAATTTAATCACAGGCCCCCACCATCACATGGTGGTAGTACGGAATGAGGGTAAAACACCGATGCATCTATATATAGGACTTCGTAGATTCATTCAAAAAAAACCTTCTCAATCAACCGTGTAACAAGCGATAAGTCGATAACTCTTACTAGTCAGAAAAATGAAATCTAGACACACTAGAAGTAATCTATTGATAACCACCTCTTTCATAACAAAAGATATCTACCTGGAGTGTGAAGATTAGCGACGACTTCAAACTCCCCATAAAAGTTACTTCTTGTACATGTAAATATAGTGAGAACGATTGGCTTGGATTAGACTGAAAAATCCCGTGCCTTTTGGATTTCCATGTGAAACTAATGAGTATATTGGTTATAGATTCTACATTAAAACTTGTGTTGAATTAACTTCAACAATGAATACAATGGGAAAATAAAAATCAAATCGAATGACTCAACCTTTTAAGGGCGCACAAATAATAACGCACAACCTCTAAATTAATGAAAGAAATTGCAAAGCAAACACTCGTACCTAAACTTTTGGTTATTTTGCTTCATGCACTAATTAAACATCTCACCTGAGCATCACTTATAACAATACAGAGAGGTGCAAATAAGCCGAGCCAGTTGTGACTTGTGAGCTGCTCAATCATAGCATGATTCACTTTCCATTAAATTCAAACTTATATCGAGCCCGGGTCATGCTGAGTTATTATTGTCATATACTTCACAAGTTATGATGCTACACATAAACACACATTAGTAGAAACTCTACCACCAATGGCTATCGACCTATCGTTAGTAGTCATCAATATCACCAAGAACCATCTCCGTCGCCAACAAATACTGCTACCCGTATTATCTTTGCCGGACACCATCACGGATGACCAAAAGGCTGGAAAAGAGAAAATAAGAAGCTTATAAACAAGAGGCACAAAACGTTTCTCAAACATCGGAGCAGCATCTGGACCTATAAACAAGAGGGAGGAAACGTTTTTCAAACATCGGAGCAGCATCTGGACCTCTAAACAAGAGGAAGGAAACGTTTTTCAAACATTGGAGCACCTCAAATCTCAATGCCACCACAATCATTTTTCTATCAAAATTTGAAAACAGCACTTTGAAGGAAGCAAGCATCAAAACAAAGAGGATGCACAAAGTTTGTGGTTTCACCTATCATCAATAACGTATCCCTCAACTAAACAAAAATTCCTAGCATCTACTCTTGGTAGTAATTTAATATATACACATGAAATGGGTTTAGTTGTCAATTTACATAATCAATAGTATTATTGTTATTATGACTCCATTGTGGGCTACTGTCTTCTCACCTACCAAATTTCTCTTCAAAACCTGCTGGAGGAAGAAGATCCAGATCGGTTGACGATCATCCAAAAAAGAAACAATATTTCTGTTGAATCCAGACTTCAAAGATATAGTTTAGCCAATGAATCCAGAATTCTGGTTTGCCACATTATTAACCCATCCCATATTGCTGTTGGTAGGACGACCACCAGAGCCTTCATGGCTGCTTAAATAGGTAAGCAATGGATTATTAGCAGCAGTTGGTTGTAGTGAGTTGTTTGGTCCTGACATAACTCTTAAGCCCATATGATCATAGTTCCCGGAAAACATGAATCTCTCTGTCGGTCCCATCGTATCATAGGAGGAGATACCACGCCGCAACTCGTTACACTCAGATACAACACTGAATAAGCTCTGATCAGAGTCATTCCCACTTATGCAAAGGGAGGGACCAACTCTGCTCTCCAAACTAGACCATCCACCACGGGCTCGATTCTCACCAGAGAACCAATTCTGGCCCAAATCCCCATCACCATTAAGATTAGTAGACTGTACAGCCGGAAAGCGCACAGCATTCATATTCCAATCCGGAATAGCAATATTCAAGTTCCCCTGCCTTTGTGGAAATGAGTATGTGCCTCCTCCAACCGAGTACTCATTCCCAAGAGCACTTTGATGTTGCATGTAAAGATCACTCAGTCCCGCTTGCTTCAACACAAAAGCAGGGTTATGCTCCTTGAAATGCCCTGAAAATTGACCAGATTCTGACATTAAGTTGGTGGTTCCTGAATGAAAAGTCAATGATGATTGCTCCTGTTTATTATGAACTGAACTAGAAGAGTTGTTGCTCTTTATGAACGGTTGCAAAGTTTCATTAGGACAGTGAGGGTAAAAGCTAGTGCTGGATTCTCTGTGCAGTGTGTCCTTCACAATCTCTTTTTCACACGAGTGCACTTCAATAAGGTGGGAATCTTGGCGACCATCCATGACATGTGGATGCGATAGTGGCGGCGGCAGCTCCACACAAGCAGAGTACTCAATGTTCAATGGAGTAGAACTAAAAGGTACCCCAGACATGATTGGCCAAATGTTATTATTATTAGAAGAAAGAGGGCTCCCCTGATTTAAAGGAGCATCTTTGTTTAACTTTTCAAAAACAGATGGAGATTCTTTATCCATTTTCTTAATAATACCATCATCACGTAGATCTAGATCCGGTTCATTGAACTGATTAGTGTCACTAAGCGAGACCATTTGCTGCACGTGCTGATGTTGTTGAGAAATTGAGCTAGACCAACTATCTCCTTTGATGGTTACGGTGTTTTGATGAATCTTTTCCGGAGCAATCCAAACAGGCTTATCAATTTCATCTTCCTATAGATGAAAAAAGAGCGATTTATTCATGGAAAATGCTTCAATGTGATTGAAAATTGCATAGGATACTATATAAACAAACAAAAGGGTGTAATCAACCTCTACCAAGACATGGGATGAGCTGTGATCTTCTGAATTCTTATTGGTTTGATGCAAGAGAAACCTATTGGACGTATCTTCCTCATCATCCTTGGCAGCCTATAAAAGAGCAGCAAGTACTTCTGATTTTTTATTAATAGAAAACAAGGAGCTCTCAGACCAAGAGCCATATTTCAGATAGGATAATAAAAGAGTGAACTAGAAATAGAAGACCAAATAGAAGAGCCATATATCATCATTTTCATTTACCCCAGTGTCGGAAAGGCTCCCACCTACGGTGGGGTAAGGGGGGGTCGGATGTATGCAGTCTTACCCCTGCACTAAAGCAGGGAGAGACTGTTTCCGGATGACCCATAGTGAAAATCGCGTCCAAAATTGCATGGACTGACTGCTGCTCCATAACAAAGAAGCGTCAGACAATTTAGTGATCCATTTTGCTTTATTCCATCATAATCTCAAGCCAAAAAATAATGAATCTTTGGCTCCATTGCAAATGATGGAAAAATATATATATATAAAATTCAATCTCAAGACATTTCACAAATATTTATAGGGGCTACATAGCACTGTTTAATCGTAAAATATGGTATAGGACTACAGGTAGCCTTTGTGGCTTTGTCCCTGATAGAAAAGGGGTTGTGTTAAAAAAGGAAGCGGGATAACAGACCTGTGCAGTCAGTGTTGGTGCAATATTTGTTACTTCGTTGCTTTTCATTTCCAGGGACTTGAGATGATGAAATACCCTCATGCTATCCTGAAAACACACACACAAATTGCCGACCCAACAAAAAATAAAGATGCTAATCAAAATAATTGATTCATTTCCTCTCAAGAATATAGATTTAGCAAAACTGTTTTAAGGCATAACATGCTTAGAGCATAAAAGAAAAGACAAGGAGAGCTGAGGCGGTGGCAGCAGGGGATTTGAGGGGCTACGTGGTCATTCTAAAGAAAGTCCTCAACATAGAGAAAGCGCACATGCGGCATTATTTTAAACGTCAAAAACTCTAGAAAATGGCATGTTGCTAAACATACTTGAAGGAAAAACTATTTTAGTCATAGAATTAATAAAAACTGCAAACCTGACTTAGGGGTTTCAGCTCTTCCATTTCATGACCTATAGACTTTCTCAATTGACATTCCTGTGATTGCCGCTTCAACCAATTTGAGTAATGAGCAGGAAGATCTCTATTTGCAAGTTGCAGCCTGAAAGGTCGGGGGAGTGGCAATTAGATCTCAGGGACATGCCTAAAAGTACATTTAAATACACATTTATGAACAAGCTAACCAGTGCTCATGTAATTTCTGCCTCTCTTCTTCCTCATATGCTTCAAAAGGTTTTACATGGAGATTTTTTATGTTACCTAAAACGTTATTTAGGGACCTTGATTGGATGCTATTGCTACTATGGGTCATGCTACTCTTAACACGTTCATAGTGCTCCTTGCTAACCTGAAAAGACCAAAAGCAGAACGGGAATAGAAATCCATAAGCAACAGAAAGAAAATGACACAAAAAAGTTACCTTAATGTAACACACTGAACCAAACAAAGACATGCTAGCTTTTTACATGATTTGTAGCAACATAATAATTCAAGATAATACACCAAGACATCTGCAAAAGAAGAGTTACCTTAATGTAAGACATGTATTTGGAACCATCTATTTGCTGTATATTACGCTTCTGTATTTGCTCTCCCCTCTTATGCTTTGCCGCATTATTCCAATCCAAAGAATTACCATATTGGTTGTCTACACAAACCTTTCTGTGGCCATGCTTAAAAAACTTATTACGATAAACATGCCAACAGAGGGAAAATACAAAACAATCCCTTCAAGCACATCACTGTAAAATCTCAAAACTAAAATGGGCAATTAATTAAAGCCTAAAAGGGTGAAGTAAGTTGATGGGTACAATTGGCAAATAATTACTGATCACCTCTTAGCCACTCAAGTTCTTTTTACTTTTCCATTTCATTCACTATTTCCTTAATTGCACAAAGTGGGATAGAACAAATTGCAGTGGAGGACAAAGTTACCTCCTTTGAGTATCTCCCTGCAACACTGATGGGTTTGGGCTGTCACTACTAAAGCCTTTGTCGCCAGCTGCCCAAGAAAACTCAGGCGTGCGTACAAAGTTCTCTTCAGCATCAAGTTCTAAGCTATGCCCTCTGTTCCTATGAAACTTTGTTGACCTAGTTTCATTTTAGAATCACAACAAAGAAGAATGCATAAGGATGGTATGAAAAGAAAACCCATGCACACAACTGCAACAAGAAGAAGAAGAAGACTTATGTAACTGCCCTCATTTTAGGGTGAAAATAAAGATAAGTTTTTTAAAGACAGAACCACCACAGATGACTGCAATAAGATTCTAACATACTATTCACGATTCACGAAGAAGATATAGCCTTTTCATCCCTTAGTTACTGCCATTGATTGAAGATGATGTTTTAGGAGCTATGTTGTCAGCAATTTGTTTCCTATTATAATAAATAGTAATTGTCTCCTATCAGTAATTATTATAATAGTTTATAATCATTCACTCCATCACCAACATTTGTGAGTGGTATATATATTGGTTTAAATTTGAGTGGTAAACCCAAATGCCGTGGACTGAACCCACCAATTAGCTGAGTCCCAAATTAACACCCTTTGCACAGGGGCTGATACGTGGGGCCAAAAGTGTCATATCTCATTCAAGGATATTCCTCTCTGTGGTGTGTTGTGAAATAAAATTTGGTGAACGGAGTTCACCTCCATATCATCTCTGCAATTTCCTCATCAGAGTCCTTGCAACTTGCCCATTTGTCCTTCCATGTCTTCAAGTTATCAATCATACTGCAAGAAGAAAAGTCAAATTCATTATATCGTAATTTAAAGCATCTGGTTAATAGCATTAATTAGCAGTTTAGAAGAATATATACCTGGCATGGTATTTTTGTAACACCAAATAGTAAGTCTTTTTATGAGACTTGATAGATTGTCGATGACTAGTGATAGCATCAGGATGTAAATTGCCAGAACATAGATCATAACTCCTACATATATACATAAAAAAACTTGAATCAATCATTATAAGGCAAAACTGCACCTGAAACTTCAGAAGTGTCAAACAAAAGTTGTATCTACTTTATTTCTATATCAACAAAAGAACAGGAAGTCAACTGCAAACTTTCTTTGTTAGAACAAATGAAAATCAACACCTTTGACATTGAGGCTCTTGGAAAACACACTCCTGACCATTACATATTGTTTGCATATGTGTAGAGAGTCACAACACTAATATTCAAAGGCATGTAAATAATATATGATCACATAAAGCACATATAAGTTTGATATAAAGGCATATCCTGAACTCAAGATGGTTCTAATTCATCGTGCTATAAGTGTTTGACAACTTGCCATTTATGGAAAGGGTTCCCAAAGAGAAAATTATCCCCTCCGAGCAAATCATGCACGAGCTTATCTGCATCAATTCCTTTAGGAAGATATTCTGAAAGAAGGCTCTGCTCAGTGTGAGACAAACAAGTCTGCCAAACCTAGGAAAAATTCAAATAGGAATTGCTACATCAGAAGATTACAGAATTCTACAAAAGACTATTAATTGTACACAGCAGTTCTCAGTAGTCACCTCTGGCGTGAGGACTTCAGCTAAATTATCCAAATCAAAAATTTCATGTGGCACATTGAGAACATCAGCCAAAATATTGTGGTGGCGTGGAACAGAACCAGAAAATGGCATGAAATCCCTCCATGACATGCCAATTTGATCCCCTTTAGAAACAACACGCTTTTTCTTCTCATCCCAAACAAGAGAGACATTACATCTCATCCTAAAACCATATTCGGATATTCCTTGTTTCCTCTTTTTGGAACCATTTCGGTCCTGAGAGCAAGCAACTATGTTTACAGAATTCATACGTTTCTTCCGTTGATCAGCTGCCATTTGCAAAATGTATCAACAAACTATCCAGCACAATATCATTTAAGCAATATGATGTCTTGATTCGATCAGCAAACCACCAATTAGCAGATTCAAAACCTACAAAAGAATATTACCATCTAAGTTGCACGGAAACACGAAAATCATGAGGAAACGGGAAACAGGAAACGTCAACTTTTGCTCAAAAAACGCTTCTTTGGAGAGTTTCCAAAGAGTTTGTGTAGAGTTTTCCGAAACAAAAACATACTCTTTCCCGAGAGTTTCCGTGCTACATAGATTACCATTAGTCAACTACACAGTTTTTGCCACTTTCAGCCCCCCAACTATTGTGGTACTCGACTTTCAATTTTTCCATTTTTGGTCCTTCGACTATTATGCGAGAGACACTTTTAGTCCTCCACTTCAAAGTTTCCCACATTTAATCCCCTGAGTATTATCAAATTGACACTTTTAGTCCTTCCACTATGATTTTACCACAAAAAATGGAGGACTAAAAATGTCACTATTATAATAGTTGAAGGACCAAAAGTGTCACTTTTATGAAAGTCGGAGGACTAAATATGGAATTTTTTAAAGACAAGTACCAAAATTGTCCTTCGCACAATAGTCGAAAGACTAAAAGTGGAAAAAATCAAAGTCGAGTACCAACATTTTCAGTGACATAACAGTCAGAGGATTAAAAGTGGCAAAATCTCGTCAACTACATATGATACTCTTCATAGTATCAGAAAAGGTATAAACTGACCCGACATTCAAAGGAAGCATTACTATGTTAATATAGTATATACAAAATATAGAAAAAGCAATTAATATTATACCAAAAGTGAATGTCACAATAAACCAAAGATCCTCCGATAGTATTTAAATCTTAAGAAGCGAAAAATATATGTGATAGAAAATTGAATGTCACAATAAACCAAAGATCCTCGAATAGTACTTGTATTTGCATAGTTTATATCAGAAATGAAGAATTGAGTGTGTATCACAAGAATCTGTCTGATTACACATCAGCAATTTGTATACTGCTACAAAAAGGTACAGATTTAGTTTATAGTTTTGGCCTATTCTCACTCAAATCCTCAAGAGCTAGAAGGTTCAAAGTAAATAATTATAAAAGGTAATGGAAAGGAGTCAAAGCCTCAAAGGACTTATACACAATGTGAGCATCTCTATAATATGAATATGCATATGAATAACAGTAATATAACTAATAATCCACGGTGCAAAGGTGGACGTGTGGTAACACCTTAACACTAGCGGTCAAGGATTCAAGGGTGGACTAGCCTAAGAAGTTATAGATGGTTACTTTTACTTATATAAACCCCGATATATTACGAGTTTACGATGGTGCTAGAGTCTACAGAAAAACCTCAGAATAAGAACTGCAATGCTACTGAAACTTTGATAGTAAGGAACATTGGTACCTCTTAGCATTTACCTGCTGAGCATAAACGAACACGGATAAAACCAGGCTTTTAATAATCTAATGTCCTAACTCCTAACCACTTCGGGTTGCATTCAAATGTATATACAAATGATGATCCTATTTATAAAGGTACGCATTTCTGTAGCTAAAATAAGCAATGAATAATATGCATAAACGAGGTAGTTCGTCTGAGGAATTCAGTCAGGAAATTTTCATGAGAAATTGATATCATACATTTCAAAAAACTGCTCCTCGTATAGAATTCATCACCCTGTAAAAGCAGGAATATTTATTGTAGAACGCCATTAAAATGACTTGCCTACTCGGAAGTATTCTTAGGCCTATATTAAGGATTGTGGAGCAAGCACTTGGTTGGTGCAGTAGAACAAAAACACAAAATGCACAAGCTGCCTAACAAAAATAAGGAGTCGCATTAAAAAGAAAAGAAAAGAACCAGTTGGCAAAGTAAAAATGCACGTGCCTAAACAATGCTTCCAAGAATATAATCTACTTATCTACCACAACAAAAATAATAGCAATTAATTAAAGATTGTAGAAACCATTTAAGAGAGAGTGACAATAGACTAAAAGACACTGGAAGCAAATGAATCTATGTGCCTAAGTTATGCATATGCACTGTGAAGGCTGATCATAAAAAAAATCCAGCGAAGAATAAACTACTCCGTATAACAAAATACAGCACACACAAAAAAAGATGGTTCTGACTTTAACAGATGACAGAAAAAAGCCCTAAAACTGGAGCAAAAGATTAGTACCCTGTCTACTCAATACCCCAGCAGTATGCCACTAAACCCCAGATCAAAAGCTGGATCTTCCGCGAGAAAAGAGTAATTGACTATGAAAATCAGAATAAATTTCAGCGCAGCTTGAAGGGGGCGGAGAAGGGTTAGGATGGCAAAGATGGCACGACAGGCGAGGAAGGATTCCCATGTACTTTCCCCATATTATGTCTCGATAAGGATTGCAGAGGTTTGATGAATTAAAAACCCCGTCTGCAAATTGACCCGATCAAGTGGCCGGTCACGGCCTCACGGTTTATCGAATAGGGGTTCAATGTCATGAATGTCCGTTTTTGTACACACTTCTAGAGTTTTTTAAGTTCTTGAAATTTAGATGGGAATAGTCAAATCTAGTCTAGGCATAAAAGTACATTAAAGGACATGTTTACTTAGGTGGCTAATAAACAATGCTTATTAAACATAGGTTTGATAAGACAAATATGTGTTTACTTCAATAGGCTTAAATATCTATTAATTGTAAATGGTCAAAATAACTTTGAACTTAACTAATAAAAACCCTTTGAAGCCTACGTCGTTGTACATCAGCCCTTAAGGAACTATGTGGTTTTCATTGTTGCACGCCGTCTTACTTCAATTGGATACTCAAAGTGGAACCCAGGATTTCAAACCCGACTTATATAGTTATATGCTAGTCTAGAATCACGGTTCTGTTGTGAAAGAAAGAAAGAAAGAAAGCAGAAGAGTGAGGAAAGAAAGCAGAAGTGTGAGGAAAGAAATATGATTCTAGCCTCAAATTCTGTGAAATTCCAAGTTTTACAAATGAAATATTTTCAGGGGAGGAAACCTAATCCAGAGATGTGAAGAAATACTAGAGAAATTGAAAAATAAACAAATAATAACTAACCTCAAGAAGAAGAAGCCATATATGTGATGTTGTAGCGTTCGCTGGAGGAAGAAGAATGATGAGGGGTGGCAATTATGGAGGAGCTAAAGACCTGGTAGGAATGTAAATATTTTTTTCTACATGCGGTAAAGTGAGGGCAAGATGGCCATTATAGAATTGTGTAAAACGCCGGCTTAATAAAACATGGGGGTGCATAAGTTTATTAAGCAGTCGTATAAACTGTGGGTCTCCTTACCAAGCATATGTATTATCCGTTCAACTTGTTTACTTCATGCGCTTTATTAACCTAACCGTGTAATAAACATTCAAGTAAACATGTCCTAAGTTTCTACTTATACTGATATATGCAGAGAAATGAATAAATGTACGAACAATATTATAAAAATTGAATCTATTTTCACTTTGTTTGGTATATATTTTTAAATGTATAAAAAGTGCATGGGAATAGATAGCAATATATTGTTGCTTTATACTACTTCGTATTATATTCCATACATGATATGTTTGCCAGTTCGGGGTGCGAATTGAACCTTCTTTTAATTTAGGGACCAAATTGAGCTTACACGACCGGTACATGGACCTATTAGACCCTTTAGCCTTTTTAATTTAATCAACTTCTTATAAGGATATATTTATAAGTAAGCGTGATTGCAGTAAGCACAGTGGGGGAGCCTAGCGTTTAGTCTAGGGTTAGACTTGGTATGGTAGTGCCTTTCTCAGGCGTTTTGTCCGCTTGGAAGTAGAGGGAGGTGATTCGAATCGGAACCTGTTAGAAGCAAAGGTGTGCGGCATCCCCAACAACTTTCGATTTTGGCAAACAAAGGAGCCTAGCGTCTGTGTGTGACGGTGTGTGGCAGTGGCGGCTCGTTTTCAGCACCTTCGGTGAGAGAGAAGTAGGAAAATGGAGGGCTACTTGCTTGGGGTGGGCAGAGAGAAGGTTCCAGCTAGAATTCAAGGCAAAAAGGGTTCATACATGGGGGAGGTGAACCAAGCAACATAACGAGGGAGGCAATCAACGTTCAAACAGAGGTACCGATGGTCCGACCTCTTCCTGAACCACCGTCATGGAATGAACGAGGAAATAATAAAGGAGTTTTGGTTGTTCGTGGAAGATCTCATTTAGAAGGGTCAAGAATATAGGAGCTTGGAAAGTAGTGGCAGGTTTGTTTGGTTTGCATTTTAATATTGTTATTTTCTAGTTTAGTTTTTATTTTGGATCCTTAGTTGTTTGGGTGTGTTGTGATTATGAGGTGGGTAGGTATCCTTTTAGAAGTAAGATGGTTTTAAGAGCCGAGATAATCTTCAAATCTCTCAGATGGTTAGCGACTCGATCCGCGCCAGTTAGGGTGGTCGTTTTTATGTCTAATCAGAGGGTGAGGTACCTTCGGGTTATGGTGAGTTTGGTAGCAGGAGGTGTTCAGTATTGAAAATTTTGTAATGTCGTTGATTTTTAAATTCTAATATAATTAGTCGGTTTCCTTTCACAAAAATTAATCAACTTCTTCTTTGTTTAAAAAAAACTTCTTCTTTGCAAAAAAAAAATCATCTTAAAAACTTTTGTCTTTCCATGTCTATGCCCACCTTTCGCGCCTACACTTATGTCTTTTCACACCTATATATGATGGTCAACTCTTCAGTTGGCCGCCTTTTCACACCTATCTACCATGTGGGGCGTTTTCTCGCCTAGACGCGCCAAAACCTCGTCTTTTGTTGCCTTTCATAATGGTGACTTTACCCCTTTTTTCTACACCCTTTCTGTCTCTCTTCTTTCTTTCCATATGCCCCCCCCCCCCCCCCCCCCCCACTCACTCTTCTTCTTTATCTTTTGTTCAATCTTAGACATCTCACTCTTCATTATCTTGTTTCATCTTCTATCACTCGCACAACATTCATAATCTTTCATCTTCACCATCTTTATCATCATTTGCTTCCATCTACATCATCATATCCATCACCTTTCGTCTTCATTGTCTTACATATTCATCACCATCAACATCTGTCACGTCTCAAATCGCCTCTAAGCGCGTGAACAACCGCCGCACGATCAGTTGACCTCACCCTCAAATCACCATCACTTGATTATACAAGGTGTCCATGCGCACAGTGCATATAATACTCGGTAAGTAAACGCACATAACAAACATCACATTTGAATCATACATAACAACATACATAAGAACGTACATAGCAAAATATTCATTATCTTACTGTGGGCTACATACGGCAAAACGCATGCTCGCAAACCCAGAACAAAGTATTACAAATATTAATATCTACTAGTATTTCACCCGTGCGTTGTACGGGATGTAATATATATGTGGTTGCTGTAAATGTAAATAAATAAATATGTACATATGTGAACGTATAGAATTAAAGAACTCATTATAGATGACATTGTTTTGTGACTTTTTCATATTTTCTTCTTCATCGCATATCACAAAGTTTAAACCAATGAACTTGTCACCCGTTTAACTGAACGAACTATCACCTTGGAAACGTTGCATATCACAAAATTTAAGAATGATCCGTAAACAGATAAATAACATTAGTAACATACTGTATAAAGTATATGAATATTTGATAAAATATTTAATTTTAGGAATAAAAATTGGAATAGTCATACATAATCAGTTAAAGACTAAGGGTCAATAATCTAAATTGATTTTATTCTTTTGGTAAACGAAGTAAAAAATTATGAGTCAAATTGTCACTATAGAGCACCAAAAATACAACTAGGAGGAAACAAAAGGGAAACTTGTCTGTCGCATAAAGAAACGACTTATCTCAAGCAACAGAGATGCTATTGTTTAAAACCCTACATCAAGTTTCTAAATTCATCCACAATCAGCGCGCCCAACCGCCCTCACTTGAGAATAGCTCAAACCACCTGTATGCATATGATAAACAACTTAATTTATCTTTTAGAATCCTTTTCACACTATTAATATTAATCCCTTGCATATTTATTAAGAAAATTTTAAAAGTACTGCTTCCCTTGTTTCTTTAATGGACTTCTTCTTTCACTTTTTCATGGTTGTGTGGTTGAATAACCATCCACACAAAATGTTAAGTGTACTGAACATTAATCTCAGTACTCCCAATGGAATTCACCCCCTAAACTAAAACTTTCAACACTTGACCAGTTAACCTTCTATAAATAAACTCCTACCATGTCCAATATAAATACAGAAAACTGCAAAATAGAGGAAAAGTATAGGAAAATATAAGTTAACATTCTAATGCTAAAATATAACTTGACCATACAACTGAAAGCTAAATGGGACTAATCAAACCTTTTTTTGTTAGACTGAAATATAACTTGAGCATATGACTTAAGTTTGAGAATTTCATATGCAATTGTGTGTGTATCCTCACCATTACATCTCAACATAAAAAAATAAAACAATTATATTTGTGTGACTGAAATAGAATGTTCTATGACTATCCACTCTAGACTTAACTAAGTTTGAGAACGTCATCCATTTGAGTTTAATTAGTTTAGGTTGGAGAATTGGTGAATGATCAATAAAATATTGTACCGGTTTTATGTATAAGTAGACTTGACGCAATGAAGTGTATTTGTGTCTGGGAGAATTTCAGTTTATTGCAAAGAGAACTATAAGAAGGTTAGGATAATAGGAAATCCATATTTAGTTCAATTAGGATATTAATATCTGGGTGTGAATCTGATAATATAAGAGCAGTCTAGTAGCATGTTAGGTAATGACAATAAAAATTCCAGAATTGCATTTTTATGGTTTGAGATGTCCCTGCCAAACCGAATTAAAAAACTTAAAAAGAAAAATGAATTAATCAGGAGGGATATGGTACCTGAGTTGAAATGAAGTCGGAAGATATGGAGGCTATAAGTGTTTCCTTTGCACCAACAATTCTACCACATGCACCACCAAAAAGCAGATATTGAGAGCATAAGATTTCATTTTTCTCCGAACCCTTTCTCTCTCTCTTCTTTCTTTCCATATGCCCCCCTGTTAGTACCCAATTTTGATAAGATTTTGATGATGCCACTATACATAACACGTGTACATTGTGTCTCAATTTAATTTGCAATAAGTGACAAAATTAATGTACAATTTTTATGACTAATAAAATACTACCGGAAAAATAAAAATGCAATAAGGTAATATTTATTTACCTTAATGGGATATTTATATCCTACCGGTATATTTTATTAGCCCACAAAAATTAATTGTCACAAAACAAGGCCAAGTTCGAAAATAAATGTATATGATTAGAGACAAGTACTTGACCGGTATTTAATACCGAATCAAGTACTGAGGACTACAGCATGGAACTCAAACCTGGAAGAAGATGCCGCGGCCGAATTATTTACAGACAAATACATCAGCCGCAATTAAAGCTCCAGCACAAGAAGACAAGAGTACTACTCGTACTCTTCAAAAGCTCAACGGCAGGGATCAATCTATCCTAACCAACGGATAAGATTGACTAGCCAGAAAGCCTATAA